AATTTGAATAAAGCAGATTAGATAATAGAATTGTAAAAAAAAAAAAATCATGAACCAGAGCCCAAGACAGAGATAACTGGGTGAAGAGAGACAGATAGATAAATAAGCAGGGAAAGATCCGATAGATTCATCTAAGTTGAAAAAACATGCTGTTAGTAGATTGTTATTCTGCATTTGGTCATGTTTAAGGTTTGTCATTCTTTCACTGATGAAAGAATAAATTTAGAAAAAAATTATTTAGTGAAGTGCTGTCCAAAACTGTTAAGTAGTTAAGTTGGTGAATGCTTAAGTATATTTGTTCTGGAAACAAATGGTTACAAGTTTTATTTGGTTCTTTTTCTAACATGTTTGTAATTTTGTGTGTGTTGATTTTAGGATATTCTGATTTAGTTTTTAATGATCATGATGGTTAATATCACTGGGTTCACCAAATTAAAACCTCCCACTTTAACAAAAAAGGTAGAATGTATAAATACACTTCACAAGCCGATAATTTTGCCACAATGTCAATAACTGTCAATAAAGTCTTAAAAGATGACTGAATAGAAATATGTAAATATTTTCATAAATCAGATGCTCCATGTGGGTGGATGGATGGATGGATGGATGGATGGATGGATGGATGGATGGATGGATGGGTGGACAGGTGGGTGGACGGATGGACGGGCAGACAGGCAGATGAATGACACAGAGAAGATGGTCTCCACCTGATAGCCCAGGTGGTCTTTTAACCATGAAAACTGGATCACGTCGCTCTCTTCCATCAAAACTTCAAGTGCATGGACATAAAACCCCAAAACCTAACAAAGACAGAAGAAAGCAAAGGGCAGATTAGCGCATAGAGTATGCTGTCGTCTGTGGGCTTGAGAAAGAACAAACACGGCAACGAGAGGGAAGCTTTATCACTGTGTATCCTAAGCACCTCTTGATTTCTGAAATATAAGCATCTAAGTACAAAATTAAAATACTTTATTTTTTTATAATTCCAGAATGTTCTAAAATGATATGTGCTTGCTTTGTAATAATTATATTTAAAGAAAACGTCAAAAATAAAGCAACTTTAGTTACCATAAATCACTGGAGTTAGCTCCTCCTCGTTTTAAAGCCATACATGTATTTCTTTTCTTCTTTTTAATTGTAGCTTTGATGTTCCAAATGGACAGTTTGAAAAACAGCAAATTTTGCTGCCCCCTTTTAAAATACACATCTATCTTTCCTGGCTTGGATCTAATGTATACAGTTTTCTTCCTATTTTAGCACTTATGATTTATGTCAGTAGCTCTTAACCTTTAGTAAGCTAGAGATTATCTCAGGGAAGTTGCTAAAAAGCAGATTCTGGAATCCTACCTACCCCTAGACATTCCGAGTCCGTGGGTCTGGGGAGGGGCCTGGAACCTGTTTTTAACACTTTAACCACAGGAGATTCCAACGCGAGTGGTCCATAGGCACACTTTGCAAAACGTTCATCCGTGACTCAAGGGAACTTATTCACATAAAAGTGACAATCCAACCTAGCACAGACTTTAGATTTGAAGGTGATCTCTTCCTCTGATGACTCCTACACACACGCCTATACCTTTGTAAACATCTGGGCCATGTTCATGCCTTATAATGTGTTCCTTAGTGTGCTCGCCTTGCCTTCTCTCCCAGCTTTTGGAGAGTGAAATTCAAGTCTTTATCTAACCCCGTGCTCCAATGTTGTGAAATTACAGTTTGAATGTTACTCTCTTGGCTTAGGGATCAAGTTCTCTGCTGGCTGTAAGTTCCTAGCCTGCCCCCTGCCTCCCTCAGAGCTCAGATGTGGGCAAGCACAGTGCTAGCCCCCTTGACTGCAATGCTGCCTGCTAAGTCTATAGGGGCTGCTGTTTTCTTAAAAAACATGTAAGTCACTCTGGTAGCTTTCTGTGCCTCTCCCAGGACCTCTGGTGAGCCCTTTCCTATGTGAATCTTAAAGTGAAAAGACCGCCTGAAAAAGTGGCAGAAGCGGTTCAGATAAACATCCCAGTGGGTTTTCCATATTACAGAAATGATCAAGTGTGATGGGAAGAGACCCGCGAGGTCCAGCGGCAGCTCTCTGCAACCCCCTGGTGGCAGGATGCTCCGCGGCACCCCAGCCCCGCCCGCATCCTGCCTCTGCCGTCGACTCAGACGGCAGGAGTTCATATGTGTCCCCAGCAGCGCCAGGCCCAGCACACCTACAAAGATTTGCTGGTAAGTAGGTTAACAGTGTGAGTGGCAGGAAAGAAAAGCACATAATTAGAATTGCTTTCTTCTGCCCAAATGAGGATCACTGGTTTTGCCAACTGTGTAATTTCCTAATTTTTTTTGTACAGCTTGTGAGCTTAATCTTAATGTACAGATCACCCAGGAGGCTAATGTGGAAGATCTCCTAGACTCAAACCACAATCCTTATAGCACAAATACACAATCCTTAAGCACAAATGCTTAAGTTATCTGGTAAAACTCCAGAGCTTTTCAGAACGGTCACTGCACCCACCAACAGTCACTGCACCCACCCAGACCTGGAACCCTCAGGACAGGTCAGGGCTAGATTCAAAGGGGTTGTCCCAGACACATGACTCAGGTGGTTTATCCTGAGGACTGGAGAGGACTGAGAGAGAACTGAGCAAAGGTTTACCAGTCTGGAGGATGCTCAGTGTCTGCTGAGGTCAGAATTAAGAAGAAATGTCCCGAGGTGGCGATGGGGGGATGGCTCAAATTCTTTCTGTAAAGAACTACCTAGAAGAGGCTGCATCTTATACCTGGGTTCTTCTTTAGGAATCACTAGGGGGGGAAAATTTAGTTAAGGAACAAATGCAGCCCTGCCCAAGGCAGGGGGGACACATTTGATGGCATTTTGGGGTCCCTTCCAGCCCTATAGGTAGAGGCTCACTTAATTGCTCCTGTGAATAGGCAAGGTGGGACTATGTGCATAGGAGCTAAGGCCAACTTACTTGTAAGACTGGGATAGAAATTCTTCACCCTGCACACAGCTCTTGTAGGGACTGAATGCAGCTCTGGGCTTCAAGTTTCCAGGTGACAGAGAAGCCTTTTTAATGAAAGCTGCTTGCTGGGCTAATGGTCAGGCCCTGAATAGAAATTCTGAGAGCATTAGCCTTTCTAAATTCAGGAAATCAAGACTGCACCTTAAGCTTAATGGTCTGATCAGAACGGCAAATACATACGGTCCTTTCCTCCTTCCCCGCCAAGCGTTTAATTGGTTCACACCCCACATTTCCTAGAAGTTAATGCAGGCATTATGCAACCTTTGAGAGGTGAACAAGGAGAGATGACACACAGTTCCCAGAAAAATCCCATGAAAGAGGGGCTTCAGGCGATCTAGGCTCTACCACATTAAAAAACAGCTACATTTTCAAAGAACGCTAGTGCAGCCCACTCATAAGTTGATTCTCTTCTATAGTTACGGGAAGTCTCTGCTTCTGGGATTACTAATTGGACCCAATGTTCCTAATTTAGAGTTAAAGGCACTTTGCTTTATGGAAAAGTTTGAATTATACATTTTTAAAATGCAAATTAATTTTTTCCTAGATCAGTGCTCATTGATCAAAGATATTTCTTCTGCCCTGGCCAGTATTGCTCAGTTGGTTGAGCGTCAATCTATGTCTCTCTCTCTCTCTCCCCCCCCATCTCCCTTCCTCTCTCTAAAAAATCAATAAAAATATATATATTTTAGAAAGATATTTCTTCCTTGTACTTGGCTTTTATGAAAGAGCCCAAGTAAAATGTCAGGGAAATGAAGAAAGCCTTAAGAAATCAGAAAACAAAATCATGTGTCTTAAATACAATTAAAACTTGCATGTTTAATAGGGATTGTTTCCCATGCTCTCTACAGATCCACTGCAGACAGACGTCATGGAAGAAAAGGCTTCTTTAAGAGCTAAAGGGACTTCTGCTCAGTTGGGTGGCTCTGAGGGACAGCCACACTCCCAATCAGCAAAGGGCTGGTTGAGAGGAGCAATGCAGACAGAGCACAATTTTCAACCAGGGCTGAAACACACGGGGTTAGCTGGCCATAAAGTATGATAAATGAGAGCCTCCCCTCTGTACTCCGGCTATAACTAAAACTTGTCTCACTCTATTACTGTAAATGCTTGTTTTATTTTGTCTACTACCCACTCCTGGCCGGGCTGTCTGCTCGGAGACGGGAGCAGGCCTGCTTTTCTCAAGCACCTATGCGGGCTCGGTGAATAAACGCTAACTTTAAATTGAGCTGAGGTTTTGCTATAGTAAGTCAGTCAGGCAGGAATGAAAAAAGAATGAACAGGCGGCCTCCATTCCTTAACAACATCTCATAGGTATTAAAGTTACTTCCAGAGCATAAGAATTAAACTGAATTCCGAAGTGGGAAACCTGCTGAGGGATCATTAATGGCTTAAAATCTTACGTTTGGAAAACACTACTGCTTTAAAACTAGAGCCCTCTTACTCATCACTGTGAGCCACTAAAAAGTTTTTAACGGTTTGCTTTTCCCAGGTTTAATGAACCCAAACTCTAACTTTGTACCGGAAGGAGAAGGAACACCGAAAGCAAGCCCGGTGACCACTATTTAGTTTCTCACCAAAGGCCCACAGGCGGGGACTGCCTACTCTAAACAGGAAGCCAGCCGAGCAACAAGCCTGCAGTTCCGCTGCCAGAGCTCCCCTCTGTACACACTCGGGAGTTTTTTCCGGCTGACTTTATCATTAGTAATTGCTTATCAAATCCACCCACATTGGCTTGGTGGAATCCCTCCCCACGTCACCCAGGGCTTTGTTTTCCCTCCACCCCCTTCACGGAGTCGGGCGGAATCACTGAGGAGAGTCCAGGATGGAGGTGGGCAATGGGATCTGTTTCTGAAAAGTAGCTGTTTTAAAGATACTTTATTTTTCAATACCATTAACTGCCGAAAACGCAAAAACAGGAAGAAAACAAAAACAAAACCCCTCAAAATAAAACTTGCAACTTAAACTTTCCAGGAAAGAACACACACGATAACTATGAAAAGACTTAAAGAGAACATTTACTTTCGATGTATAGTCGGATCATCACAACAAACAGCTGGGTTTTTACCCAGTCGTCACCCCAGTGCCTTTGTAGTGCCCTAAATCATCTTATAAGTGATGAGACACACAGGTCTCCTCTCGAGTATGTAATTTTTATAAATTGCATCAGACCCACACTGAATATCTTTCAGGGAGTTTCACCAAAACCAAAGAGAAGTTTGAAGATAAAACTGCAGGAGAGATCAGGGAAAGCAGGTGAACTGCAAGGTCACAGGACTAACCCGCAGCTGTCCTTAGTCTGGGGCACCTGAACAAACCCACATGTCCACGGCCAAGGGCTGGGAAGGCCGAGTCCTGCGGGAGGCCAGCTGATGACAGCAGAGCTGGTCCTATCTCCCCGCCAGGGGTCTAAGCTGCAGCTCGCGCTCAAACTGCTCTGCGGTGAGGGTGCCCTGGATGGCCTCGCAGCCGGGGTTGAACACGGAGTAGGCGCTTTTCTCTCCACCCTTCTTCTCCCCGGGGCCTCGTGTCCCAACATACATCCAGTAGAACAAGGACAGGACAAAATAAACCAGGCCAAATTCCAGTTCCACAAACAGTCCCAGAAGGATCAACCAGAGAAGAACCTTCAAGAAGGTGATGCTGGTCAGGAAGGACTGGTCCTTTGGCAACGGTGGGGGAATGGCTGTTCTCCGCGGGGGCTGTGACGTGTGGCTCCCAGGCCGAGCGGCTTCCTAGGACACAAACAAAGGTAAGAATGAAAGGTAATGAGGCCAAGAGGATGAAAACCAGTCTGGAGAGGCGGCTCACATTGTTGCGGGAAGGCTTCTGGCTCATTGATTTCTATTTCCTTGCCCAGCTCTCTAAAACAATCATCTCCAAAGAGCTTGTGCGCCCGGCTCCAACCGAATCAAAACGGATCAGCACTTAGCGAGATGACCCGATCGAAACCCGACAGCACTCGGATGGGTTCCCTTCATGGGAGGCATTTCCTCAGACGAGTCTGCTGCTAACAAGAGCTAATGTGTGCCTCACACAGAAGCTCCCAGGAATGGATAATGCAATAGCCACGTATGCTTCACACAAAATCGATACGCTTGTTGATTTAATTACATGAGCTAAAATTTTGGGTGACATGATTCTAAAATGAGGACTACACCAGAAACAGGAAAGAAAACCCCTTACATGCATGAAAAACTAAAAATCACTGTAGTAACCACAACCTACCCATCTGGTTGCCTACACATCCCAGGCCCGGGGCAGTGTCTCCTAAGCAGACTCTTCTCCCTTTCTCTTCCCTCCCCACGCTGTCCTGTGTACATACAGTTGCTAAATGAATCCTCTAAAACACCCATCAACCTCCTGTTCACAAGCCTTCAACAAATTTTTACTGCCTACGGGTTAAAATTTAAACTCCTTGGGCTGCAATCCAAGGCCTTCCATTTATTCAACCGATAGAAATGCCAGTACACAGGCCCCTGGCTGGATGCTAATGGAAGACACAGGGATTTGGGTAGCTTTAGGGAGCTTGATCTCTTCCAATATTTTCCAGACTTCCTTGGGTATGATCTGCAATAAAAGATACATTTTGTACTGTGACCCAGCATGCACGTATATACATATATCTGCATCTGTATATATATATATATGTATGTAACAGAAAAAAGTTTCACAAATCAACAAATATCTTCGCTATACACGAAACTGACATTTTCTATTCTACTTTTAAAAATTTATTTTTAACAGAGGACTAGATTGCTCTAAACTGATTTCACCACTCACTAAAGGGTCATGACTTACCATTTGAAAAACGGCCTATAAAATTTCCTGTACACCACAATTTAATGCTGTATAAATGAACCCTCTGCTCCAGTTCAACTGGTCTCACTACCTAAAGCCACTGCCCATCTGTGGCCTGGAACAGTCCCTGTCTCCTCTCCATTCCTCAGTCCCTGCCTTCCTCCAGGCAGGCATGGTCGGGGAACTGCACAGCCTTGACCTTCTCCACCATCCAGGGCGCCCCCTTCTGCCTCCCAAGCACTGACTGGCTCTTTCTCACTGAGCACCAAACTATTCAGAACTGAAGTATCTCTCTTTTATTTTTTTATTTTATTTTTCAGTAGGTTAAACTAACAAACAAAATACAAACAGACTCATAGACACAGAGAACAGACTGACAGCTGTCACAGGGGAGGGGGTTGAGGGGCTGGGTGAAAAAGGTGAGGGGAATAAGCAAAGAAAAAACCTCACAGACAGACAGCAGTGCAGCAGTGCAGCGATTCTGGGGAGGGGGGTGGG